CTGATTGGGTGGGAGCTTGGCTGTGTTCTGATTGGGTGGAGGTGTGTTCTGAATGGTTAGGGGCTTGGCTGTGCTCTGATTGGCTGGGGGAGTGTTCTGTTTGGTTGTGCTCAGGTTAGTCTGAGTTGCAGAGGGGTTTAAGATTTTGGGCTGCCTTGCTATTTTTTGGCTTCGCGTTCGTGGTCGTGCCTCCTCTTCATGGAGGGTGTCAGTTTGCTTCATGTATGGATTGGAGGGGTTTAAAGTGGCTAATGATGCAGCTGTGGTCTGGCTTCTGGTTTGTGGTCGTGCCTCCTCATCGGTGTGGCTTTGGGTTTGTTTTTTGTGTGGATGTGTGGTGGTGACATCCTGTGTGGTTTTTGTGAGTGTGGGTCTGGTATCATTTTTTGTGTTAGGGAGTCGTTTGTCAATAAGGGCGGGTTTCCAAATGGCTGGTAGGCGGGAGGTATCATCTCGCTTGTTCATGCTGTGTGGGCGTTTTTCTATCTCGATGGCTTCTCTGATTATTCTGTTATTAAAATGTTCACTTTTGGCAATGGTTCTGGTATTTTTAAAGTCAATTTCATGTCCTGTGGCTTTAAGGTGTTGGACCAGGGAAGATGTTGGTTCCTCTTTTTTGACTGAGTTCTTATGTTCTTCAATGCGTGCACTTATTCTTCTGTTGGTTTGTCCAATGTATGTGGTGGGACAAGTGGTGCATGGGATTTCGTATACTCCTTGATTTTCTAATTCAATTTTATCTTTGGGGTTTCTAAGGATGGTGGATATTTTTCTGTTTGTGCAGAATGCTGTTTTGATGTTGTGTTTATGGAGGATCTTACTGATTCTGTCTGTGGTGCCTTTTATGTATGGGAGGAGGGCTTTGCCGTTTTCTTGTTCTTTGTCTTGGATTTTAGTGGGGGTTTCTTTTTGGATTAGTTTGGTAATCTTATTTTGTTGGAATCCATTGGATGTAAGTACATTAGTGAGAGTGTGTAGTTCGGTTTTTAGGTGTTGTTCATCAGCTAAGTGTTTTGTTCTAGAGATGAGTGTCTTGGCTACGGAGTTGATCTGTGCTGGGTGGTGGTGTGAGAGAACATGCAGATAGCGGTTTGTGTGTGTTTTCTTCTGGTAGATGGTGTGTCCTAGGGAGCCATTGGATTTCTTGTAGACTAAGACATCTAGGAAGGGAAGTTGGTTATTAGCTTCTGTTTCCATGGTGAACTGTATTTTGGGGTGTAGGCTGTTGAGGTGTATGAGGAAGTTGTCCAGTTTTTCTTTCCCATGTGGCCAGATTATGAAGGTGTCGTCTACGTATCTGAGCCAGAGTTTGGGTTTGTGATCCGATTTTTCTAGAGCTTGGGTTTCAAAGTGTTCCATGTAGAGGTTGGCAATGACAGGTGAGAGGGGTGATCCCATGGGTGCTCCTTCTGTTTGTTTGTATTTTTGTCCATTATAGATGAAGTATGTGTTGGATAGGCAGTGGTTGGTCAGATCTAAGATGTGTTTGGGGGGGTTATATTTGTTTTGAATAGCTGTCAAGGCTTCTTTGATAGGCACTTGGGTGAAGAGGGATATGACATCGAAGCTCACTAGTAGGTCGCTGGGCTGTAAGTTTTGTTTCTTTATGATCTCTATAAACTGGAATGAGTTTTTTACGTGTGAGGTGATGGATTCTGCATAGGGCTGTAGTTGTTTGGCGAGAAATTTGGCTAGGTTTTGTAGAGGTGAGCCTATGGAGCTGACTATAGGTCTGAGTGGGGTTCCTTCTTTGTGTATCTTGGGGAGACCATAGAGTTTGGGGCATCTGGATGATTTCTCTCTGGGAATGATTCTTTGCTGGATCTCTTCGCTAATGGGGGAGGCTTTTATTTTGGATCTGGTGGTTTTTTCCAGGTAGGTGGTGGGATCTGTATTTAGGGGTTTGTATGTGGAGTCTTGGAGTAGGTTGGTTAATTTGGTTTGTAGTCAGATGTGTTCATAACCACCATGGCATTGCCCTTGTCTGCTGGTAGGATTATTATGCTGGTGTCTTCTTTCAGGTTACGTAGTGCTGTCTGTTCCTCTTTGGGTAAGTTGCTTTTGGGTGGCTTGCTGGTGCAGAGGATGTTGGTGATTTCGAGTCTGATTCTGTTAGCGTCGTCGGGGTTGATTTTGGTCAGGCTGGTTTCAACTCCACATATAATGGTTTCAGTGGGGATGTGTTTGGGAGTGACTGCAAAGTTGAATCCTTTGGAAAGGACATTGGTTTCGGCTTTGGTGAGGATCCTATCTGAGATGTTATGCACTGTTTGTTTCATGTGTGGCTGTGAGGGAGGAGGGGTTTGTTTCTGGTGTTCTTGTAGTCTTCGGAGTTTGTTGGTGTGTGTGTCTGTCTTGAGGGTGGTCTGTGTTTTGGCTCTCCAGACGGCGAGTTGTTTGGATTTGTCCCAAAGTGCAGGGTGGATCTTGTTGCTGAGTTTGAGGTGAAGTGTGAGGAGATCTTTGTTAATTCGGTCTAGGAGGAATCTTTTTGTGTGAAGTTCATTTCTGATTAGGGCCAATTCTGTTCTTTTCAGGATGCGTTTGGTGGCTGCAGAGTTGGAGTGGAATTTCAGTTGGAAACATATAGGGATTAAATTTTGATCTCGGCAGTTGCGTAGGAATGCGAGGTCACATAAAATGGAAACTCTTTGGACTTCAAGTTTTTCATAGGTCCTGGTCAGATGGTGGATTTCCTCCCCGTAGAGGTTCGATATTTGTTTTCTGAGGTTTTTGCAGGTGTTTGTATGTAGGTCTTTGGTTATTCGGGTTTTCTCCCACGTAAAATTGGAAGTGTCTTGGCGACGTTTCGAAGAAGTCTCATTCGTCATCTTCAGGCTGGTGCTTTCGGCTTCGTGCTTCTAGGAGCAATGTGTGATTGTAGCTGTTTCCTCCTTTTAACTGCCAGTGGGGGTATGAACTGATTGGATGAGAGCTTGGCTGTGTTCTGATTGGGTGGAGGTGTGTTCTGAATGGTTAGGGGCTTGGCTGTGCTCTGATTGGCTGGGGGGTTGACTGTGCTCTGATTGGCTGGGGGGTTGGCTGTGTTCTGATTGGCTGGGGGAGTGTTTTGTTTGGGTGGGGGCTTTGTTGTGCTCAGGTTAGTCTGAGTTGCAGGGGGGTTTAAAATGGTGAACTGCCTTGCTAAACCCACTTATGCATTGTCGGGTGCTGAGTGGGTGTGGCCCATTTACTGGGTGTGGCCAATTGGGTGGCCCATTGAGTGGGCATGGCTGCAGTGGTAACGGCAGACTGGGTGGGACTAAAAAGTTCAATCAATCAATTCCAACTTTGCAAGATCTTTTTTTTCCCCGACAAGTTGAATTTGACTGATTGATTGAACCTTTTTTTTTTTTTGCACATGGCGGCGGAGGCCTAAAGCGAAAAGGTTTTATAAAACTCAGCTGAAGGCCTAGGACTGGGCGGCGACGTGCATGCCCACAGAGAGGGCTCTGAGTGCCGCCTCTGGTACCCGTGCCACAGGTTCGCCACCACTGCCCTATACTATACCTGTACATTTGGTTTTTCTTGCCTAAATGTAGAACTTTACTTTTTTCACCATTGAATTTCATTTTGTTAGATAGCGCCCAATGTTCAAGTCTGTCCAGATCCTCCTGTATCTTAAGCCTATCTTCTGGAGTGTTGGCTATTCCTGCCAGCTTGGTATCATCTGCAAATTTGATGAGTTCCCCACCTATCCCCTTGTCCAAATTGTTGATGAAGATGTTGAAGAGCACTGGGCCCAGAACAGAGCCCTGGGGCACCCCACTACACACTTCCCTCCATGTAGATGTGGTTCCATTGAGGACCACATGCTGAGTACGGCTGGTCAGCCAGTTATGAATCCATCTGGTGGTGATGCTGTCTAACCCACATTTTTCTATCTTATCAAGTAGTAGCTTGTGATCTACTTTATAAAATGCCTTACTGAAGTCCAAGTAAATTATATCCACAGCATTCCTCTGATCCACTAATTTTGTCACTTGGTCAAAGAATGCAATAAGATTTGTCTGGCATGATCTGTTTTTGACAAACCCATGTTGGCTTTTAGTAATGACTTTGTTTGCCTCTAGGTGCTCGCTGATTTGTTGTTTATCTTTTCCAGAATCTTCCCAGGTATTGAAGTCAGGCTGATAGGTCTGTAATTTCCTGGATCCATTTTTTTTCCTTTTTTGAAGATGGGAACTACATCAGCTCTTTTCCAGTCCTCTGGCAGTTCCCCAGTGCTCCAGGATCTTTGAAAAATATAGTTCAGTGGTTCTGAAATCACATCTGCCAGTTCCTTGAGAACTTTGGAGTCCTGGTGATTTAAACTCGTCTAGGCTGGACAGGTGCAAGTGCATGCGCATGCACGCTTTCATTTCACCACTCACGCAAATGGAGCTGCATGTTCATGTATTCTTGCTCATCACTTGTATGGAACCATCCCCTCTCTCCCTCCCCACCCTTCAGTCTGCAATGGCAGGAAGGTGGGGGAATTCTGCATTAGGAAATGCCCTTAAGCAATGTGGGTAGGGATATTTCTCCCACCAAAAGAAATGAAAAATTCCTTAGATGAATTTCCTACTTAGTTTAAGATTAAGACTGAGTTGAGGTCATTTCTTCTTTCCATGATATCCCTTATTTCAAGAAGGCTCTTAGTCTTCTCAAAATATTTTAGGGAAAGCAGATGTTGCAGAAAGAGCAAAGAAGTTGAAAGCTCTTTTGGGGGGACATGGAAAGAGGTGAAGGATAATCCTTATGGAAAAGTATTTTATGTGTATTGATATGGTATTGATTTTTTCTGAAGTAAATGGGTCAGATTGCTGAAATAATGCTCAGTTCCAGATAACCCCAGTTTAGTGGGGATATAAATTACAATAGAGATATTTGTTTGCTATTTCCTTTATAAGATCTTTGGACTCAACACAATGAATTCTTAGCCTACATCAAGACAATTAGCATCACTCAAGCACAATTTCATAGGAATAGCAAATGAAGTATGATGCCCCTTTACCGACCTTCACATGATTCTCCACTAGGTGAAAACATGCCATTATCGTGGTAACCATCCCTGCACTCACAGTGGTACCATCCAGGTAGGTTAATACAGGTGGCACGGCTGTCACACTGAACAAAGCCATCTGAACATTCATCAATATCTGCTCAATAAATAGAAAACAACATAAACCATAGTATCAGTCCACAGAAATGGCTGTTGTTTGTGGACATATAAAGAAATTGATATATGAAAAGTATTTATGTTTTATAGACTAAGATACAATATACTAAAAAGGAACTGAAGTGTAATAAGTGTTATCTTTTTGTAAAGATGCAAGATGAGAAATAAATGTGAACTGTGAACAAAATAACACCATTAAAATACTCAGTATTGTTGAAACATTTCTAATTCATTCAATGAAAATAAATAAAAAGCATATTTTGCATGTCACTGCCCATGGAAAGCAGAAAAAGTCATTCCACCTGGAAGGTTATTTCTAACTATTATTCCTTCCCTTATGTCTTGCATTAGACTATCTCTTATAAACCAACAATATCTATTTCTGTAGCATGAACAGGACATTAAATCATAACTCCTTTTCTTCTGTAGAAGAAGAAATAATTTAGAAATAATTTTTAAATCTTTTTTTGAAACACAAAGACTATTCCAATGCATATTTTGAATATGAATTGCATTACTAGCTGTCATAATTAGTACATTTCCCAAGCTGAAACAAACTGTTTTTCTAGATCTACTTCTCTCTAGTCTTGCAAGGGCAACAAATAGTATTTCAAGGAGGAGGCAAAAGAAGAGAAATTGAAATATGCAGATTTTTTTAAAGGAATGTATGGAAAAATAAAAATAGTTTACAATGAATTAATTCAGGCAATTGAAAATGAGGCAAATTGGTATTTATAAATTTATCCCTTTCTTTCACAATATCCATAACATTCCATTATATCTCGAGAATATATCTGACTTTAGGAAACTTTTATTTTATTTACTAAATAAAATAATTATCTGCAATTATGCCAGATAAAACTTCTGAATTTTTCTCCCATTTCCCGCAACAATGTACATAGATAAAATGGTGAATAATTACAAAAGGTTTACAAAATATTTAAAAGGTATGACTCTATTGACTTAAATTCTATATAGAATGGAAATGCTTTTTTAAAAATAAAGCCAATATTTTAAAATAATTTTGCAAGTTAATTGGATTTTTTATTTTTAATTCTACCTTTCCTTTAAAAATTTAAGGGTTAGGTGTACATGGGACCTCCTAGTCCATTCCACTCTTTCCAAACTGTAAATCTATCATAGGTTAGATTAATAGACAGCATAATGGCTCTAATTCACACAGTAAGTTGGTTGATAATCAACCTGAACTAGATCTCCTAAATCCTAGTCAATGCCTAAATTGTTATACCAGTCTATATATTAGATTCATGCCTTCTGATTATCTCCAGGAGTGAATCTAAATTTGGCCACAATTATTGCTACCTCTTCACAGCATCACTTTTAAATGCTTTTGATTCTTGATTCCCACATATCTCAGACAAAGGTACTGAAATTTTGCTTTCAAACTTAAAAAACCCCAAACATATCTACAAGCACTATCTAGGTACTAAAGAAGTGTGCTGTGGCATTTGGTGGATATGTGGCAAAGCTAAGGCTTATTGGAAAAAGATACATACATGGTTAGAAAAAATATTAGGTGAACATGTGGATTTTAAACCTGAACTTTTTTTACTAGGTATAATGCCTGAAAAAATTAATAAGCAGAGTTTATATTTAATTTTACACATCACTACAGCAGCGAGAATAATCTTCGCACAATACTGGAAGAATGAAGGATTGCCATCAGAAGAAGAAATAATCAGAAAAATATTGGAATGTGCAGAGGTGGATGGATTAACTATGAGACTGAAAGATAAAGAAGACACAGACTACTACCAAATTTGGGATTTATTTTATTGTTGGTTAGAGGAAAGAATGAAGGATAAGGAATCGAATATGTATTAGCATAGCTAACCCCAGACAACCCGTTGACTGGAAAAATTCAATGGTGAAAAAAGCAAGGTTCTACATTTAGGCAAGAAAAACCAAATGCACAAGTACAGCATAGGTGGCACCATGCTCAATAATAGTAACTGTGAGAGGGACCTCGGAGTCCTAGTAGACAATCACCTAAATATGAGCCAGCAGTGTGCTGCAGCTGCCAAAAAAGGCCAACACAGTGCTAGGCTGCATTAACAGAGGGATAGAATCAAGATCACGTGAAGTATTAATACCACTCTTCAATGCCTTGGTAAGGCCACACTGGAATACTGCATCCAGTTTTGGTCACCACGATGTAAAAAAGATGTTGAGACTCTAGAAAGAGTACAGAGAAGAGCAACAAAGATGATTAGGGGACTGGAGGCTAAAACATATAAGGAACGGTTGCTAGAATTGGGTATGTCTAGTTTAACGAAGAGAAGGACAAGGGGGGACATGATAGCAGTATTCCAATATCTCAGGGGCTGCCATAAAGAAGAGGGAATCAAGCTATTTTCCAAAGCACCTGAAGGCAGGACAAGAAGCAACGGGTGGAAACTAATCAAGGAGAGAAGCAACCTAGAACTAAGGAGAAACTTCCTGACAGTGAGAACAATTAATCAGTGGAACAGCCTGCCTCCAGAAGCAGTAAATGCTCCAACACTGGAAGTTTTTAAGAAGAGACTGGACAGCCATTTGTCCGAAATGGTGTAGGGTTTCCTGCCTGAGCAGGGGGTTGGACTAGATGACCTCCAAGGTCCCTTCCAACTTTACTACTATTACTAATTAACATATGTATGCAAAAGAAAACCAATAAAATCTTTATTTAAAAAAAGTGTGCTGTGGAACAGAATTCACATATTCACTCTTGGAATGAAGGTGTAAAAACAAGGCCTCAAAAGACTTTAAAACTAAGGAACAAGAGCAATGAAAATTGTGTTGCTTTAGAGCAGTGGTGCCAAACTGCTGGCCCATAGGCCGGACGCATCACCAGGAAACCATGCCCACCCCATTGCCAGCAATAGGGAAAAAGCTCCGATATGTTGTGCGATGTCACATGATGTTGAAGTTTGAAATGTCTGCTTTAGAGAGAGAGAAACTAAGAAATTATCTAGAGCATTGATATTGACAAATGTTATGGGCACATTGAAGAATATAAAACCCTGCAGTACAGAATTTTATTGTGCATCTTAGATCAGACATGTCAAACACAAGGCCCGGGAGCCGGATGCGGCCTGCGAAGCCATCCTGGAAACAGTGAGGGAACGGCCCCCTCTGTCTTGGCCCTGGCCCAGGCCGGCCGGGAGCCAATGTACAATTTTGTGGTGGCCATCTATGCTGAAACGTATTCAGTCTTAGCTCCATAAGCCCCCCCCCCCGCATGGCCTGAGAGGAATGGTGAGGCTCCTCCAGTGGAGCATGCCTTGGCACTTGCCCTGGTCCCACCCCCTTCTGCCAGAGACCCTCAGATCTATCCCACTCCTGCCCAGGCCCCACAGGCACCCTTGATGCGAACGATGTAGAGCTAGCCACACCCACCCAGTAGGCCTCACCCACTTCATCCACGCCCACCCAGTAGGCCGCACCCACCCTGGCCACACCCACCTGGCCCCCTGAGGGCAACCGCAATGCTGATGCGGCCCTCAATGAAATTGACTTTGACACCCCTGCCTTAGATTCTGCTTGGTGTAACAATTCTATCATAAACTGTGAAATCTGAAGGTAAGTTACTGTAAGTTACTGTAGATTAAGCAGCTCTCTGGTAGCTGATATCAGTAGCACAGATTATTTTACAGAGGTATATTTTTCCATAGCTGCTTATCTGTCTATCAGCCATCCATCCAATTTTAGTCCACCATCATCCTATTTTGCTAACTTAGGAAAATAACTACTGTTGCTGAAGAAAATAATACAAAGCAGCTGCTCTAAGTTAACAATGAGAAATGGGATGCAGTTTCACAAATTTTCTTAAGGAGTGCTTCAACCAAAATTTAGATGAGGTAAAGTGTTCCTCAAAGATTTTCCCTGTCCACATAGTCAGCATTGATACAGTATAATAGTCAGGAATGGGAAAAAAATTAAGCAAAAACATAGAAACAAAATAGCATTTAATGTTTGCTGCATAGGAAGGTAGGATCTTGCTAATCTTCATTTAAAACAAATCTTTTAAAGAGTCATTTTTAAGGGATCTGCGTTCATTGTAGGTATATCCTGAAATGCAGCAGAACACTTCAGAAAGAATTTGCCAGAAACCAAGGGATTGTCTTCCAAATTGGCCTGAACAAAGACAGCTTTGAAATTTTAAACCTTTGAAGATGGACATAAATATACACAATATATCTGCAAATTTTTATCCACCTCATTTGCACCATTTTTGTACACTTTCTCTGAAAAGCTATGAGAAGAGTAAATTCTTTCTTTTTTTGCTAGGTATCTCTGTCTCATGGGTAGAAACAGTAGGACAATCCTTTTTACATGTAAACATAGAGCTCAAGTTGATAAAATTATTAACTCTTTGCAGATCTCTGCACATAAAACTCTATAAGTTCCCATTTGAAATTTACTTCATTGTGTTTTCCATCCAATATTTATTTATTTATTGGTGGTGCTGGTGGTGGTGACTGCTTTCATGTCAATGTTAATTTTGTGATGCCTGGCAATGTCCCTAAAATTATCTTAGCAAGATTTCAGAAATGCCAAGATTTCAGAAATTCCAAGATTTCAGATAATGCTTGCCATTATCTTTTTCCTAAGGCTTATATACAGGTCAAAGGTTACCCAGCTGGCTTCATATCCAAGACAGGATTAGAACTCACAATCTCACAATTTCTAGGTAGGTGCCTTAACCACAATACCAGACAAATAATGTCCACCTAATTATCTTTCTCTAACTTTGTCCCCAGTAGATTTTCCCAAAATACATTAAAATGTCACAGTGTTAAATATTGGCTCTTGCTGCTAATAATTGCTTCATTTCTTTTGTCTTGAGTTTTTGAACTAGAAAAGCATACAATATTTTTATACATATTCCTCCTTTAAGAATAAGAAAGAATAAACATCTGATTTTTTAACTTCCATGTGTAATGCCTGCTGCTATATAAACTCTG